GAATGAATCTGACAATTAATGATGCAAGAAAAAAGAAAAAAAAAAGAAAAAAGAAAAAAAAAAGTTTTACAAAAATCACAGTCAAAAGGCACCGGGACAATATCCAAAATTAATTATTATTAAGATAAAAAATCCAGTTATATGATTCTCTACCTCTTCATTCACACTTTGTCCTATTTGAATATTAACTCAACTGTTTTTGTTTCCTAATATTTAGCAACTAAAAAAAGATTAACAAAAATGTTACCCATCTTTCCAAATAATTTTCTACATAAAATATTTGATGAGCTAGATATTGAATGGAAATAAAGGGACTTCTTGAAACTTATAGTAGTTAATGATCTGATTATATTTTATATTGGTAGGTAACCACTCTGGAATGTATAAAACATGAGTGTCTGACTAAACTCTTCATTATGAGGAATGTATAAAAAAAAGAAGATAGTCAAATATGTGATGCAAATTTTTCCTATTCAGCATCTTATATTGTTTTCCTACTCAGCAACTGATCTAGAACAACTAAAAAAAAAAATAAAATAAAATAAAATAAAAACCTAATATAGAGATGGTTTTAAAAGTTTATTTATATGATCTAAAAATCCCATTATTCCCTTATTAAACCTAAATTTAATTATATATATGTCAGGAACTACAAGCACTATACATTCACTTTTGAGTATATAAATGGGGAAAATCACTTTAACCATAACTGTAACACACTAACATACTGAACATGGAATGATACAAAACTTTATACTAAAACTAAAAACTCCAAGTTATAAAAACCCAAATGTTTTGAAATACCGAGACAAGCTAAATGAAGATTCTGTAGTCATAGATATTAATGTAGGTGTAAATGCATTACTGATTCTGCCATAAGTCACATACAAATATCATTAAGCATAAATAATCAGTGAAGAAATTACTGCAAAGGAAGATGTACATGTTAAGATGAAATAAATTCCAATGCAAAAATCTTCTATGGAAAAGATATCACTTTATTTACTGACAGTTTACACCATATTAATATGACTATATATGAATTACACAATATGAAATAAAAGGCAATGTAAAAAGTATTTAAAAAGAAAAAAAAAAAAAGACATAAAATTATTATAATATATCAAGTACAAATTTTACACACAAAATCTCTACAACTGTTGGTAAATACTGTAAGGATAATGGCAAAATAAATAAAATATGTTATGTAAAACAGCAATTGGCACAAATACATGCCAACCTATAGATATGTAGGATAAAATCTATTATACCTACTTTGTGTATGATGAGGTAAATTACAGAACAAATTTATTTTGAACAACCTATTGACATTTAATTATTGCTTGATATAAGGAAAATAATCAGATTTTGATTGATAAAACTCTGCTCTAAAATTCTCTAAACTTCTTTCTAGTTCCAAACTGTGGAATGATAGTCTTAGAATATAATTCATAGACAAGATGCACGTATATTCTACATCTGGCATGAATCAATAATGGTTTCTCCTTAAAAAACAAAAAACTTTAAACATCACCTATACATTGTGCACGCTATTCTCCTCTTTCTTTGTTTCATAACAAAAAGAAAACACAATAGCTTAAAGATCTAAAATACTTGTCTATTCCACACTGCATGTACAAAACACAGAATCCTTTTTGTCTTTTTTAAGAATAGAAGGTAAGCACTGAGGTCTGGTTGCCACGTATAAGGAGGAACGGTGGCATGTCGCGAGTCAGTGTTTCCAACCAAGCCATGTACAATGGTGCGGAGACAGAGTTCTTGCGGGGCATGGGTAAGGTCCTGCAAGGGAGTGGAAAAAGGAATTGAGATATTAACCATAACTTCATATAAACAGCTATATATACAATATAATATACAATATATATATAATATATAATATACAATATATATATAATATATAATATACAATACATATATATATATATGTAATATATAATAAATATATATGCATAATATGTAATATATAATAGATATATATATAATATATAATGAATATATATATAATATATAATGAATATATATATAATATATAATGATATAAATAAAAAAATAATAATAATAATAAATAAATATATATATACACAATATAAAATATAATACACACACACACACACACACACACACACACACACACACACACACACACACACACACACACACACACACACACACACATATTAAATAAATAAATAAATATATATTTATATATGAATTCTTAAATACATCTCTCAAAATATCAAAAACAAAAGTCTAAGTTTTACATACATCACTACAAGAGAAGCATCTCTAGAGTTCTCGAGGAGGAGTTCACGCAAGCGCACATGACGATTAGTCTTCTCTCGCTGACCAAGAAGTTCTGCTTCACTGATTACTATACCTGAAAATTGATAAGACATTAAAACATAGCCTTTTTTTAAACACTGTTCTTGTATTCTTTAACAGCTAGCAACTATTTACCCACCAATGAAATTTTTACTTT